TGGTACACCGTGTGTGAGAGCCGAGAGGGCGTAATTACTCGATTAGCGGGATGAGTCACGACTTGCATCACTCGCCGCCCATTCATCTATCGTGGCTACTCCCACACAATAGGGTTGCCATGGCGGACTTATTTTGTGAACTAATTATATCCATATTAGGAAACGATGGATTTTGCTATGATATGCTTCTTTTTTTATTTTGACAACCATATTGTATAGATTTTTTTTTAATTTTTATGTGTATTCCAAGTTCTAGTCTTTAAAAAAATCTGAATTCGTAATTCGAACAGGTTTCTTTACACGTCTATTTTTTTTTAATTTAGGTAGATATAAGTTAAAGAATATTTTTACTTGAACATTATTTGTAGAGAGATTAGTGTCATTAATGCATTTTTAACATTCTGCCGATTTCGAAGTCTTGGGTCCTGTCTCTTCTCGAGATTTTCTTTCATGAAATTATCAATAACAACCCCAATTAATAAAGTACATAGTTGGCTGGGTATTACAGACTAGGGGGTTGTAATTCTTATATGCCTCGGAACTCGTGCTTTATATACCTTGAAGAGCACATGAAGTCTTCGGTCCTGAGCCTAATCTCTCACTGGTCGTGGTTCCCGCCTGATTTTGAGAGTATTTAATAGAGAGGATATTTGTATTTGATATGCACGCACTTGTGCTGCTCATATGGTTAACTTAACTCAGGTTAGTGTGATATTATTCCTTATATTAACTCTCCTCTCTTTATATCATATAAGTATGCCCAATAAATGGTAACCCTACACACGAGATAAAACAGCTGTTTCTTACGCCCTTTGTGTTTATTTAAATTCACTATAGACTTAACAATTAGAAACATTAACTATAATAACTGTTTATAAAATTAATACTTTCTTAGATTTACGCGAATATTTGACATTTTAAATAAAACTATCTTTTCGGATTATTTCGCGGATTTATTTTGATTTTTGGTTACCGACGTTTGGAATTCTTTACAGCGATCATCGGTCAGTCGGTCATCGGTCAGTCGGGAAATTGATTAATAATAAGATAGAGGAATAAAAGGAAAAGAAGTACCTAAAAGAGGTTTTTAATTTGCAGTAGAAACAAAGTGATTATATTTTAAAAGCTAACTAGATCTTGCACATACCTATAGGTATACTGAATTACTATCAGCTCTGGAAATGGTATTAAAAACAAAATGCTTTAGGACCTTTTTTTAAGGATAATTCCAAATGAACACTGTTGAAAGTTTGATTTTACTATGAGTGTAGCATAAACTTTACCTAATAACTAACGGGTTGCAGATACCAGTGGTAGAGAAACCGACATGATAATGCTTATTATATCGTACGTAATCTTATACACGGAGGTATAAAACCACCAAGTTTCAAATAGGATTTTTCGAAATCCTTATTAATCTAGTGTTAAAAAATGCTTTTTATTTCCACATACATATTATCTATAGGTACATATAATAAAATTGTAACTGATTCGAATTTGTATTTTTTGCAAAATCTTATTGAAATAGTCATTATTAGGTATCAATACAGAAGCCGAATCTATAGTTTCAGAATTTTGTCTGTCTGTCTGTCTGTTTGGGAACGCACGAGAAAACCACTGGACAAATTTTGATGAAACTTGGTGTGATGATAGCTGGTTATCCGGGTCAACATATAGGATACTTTTTACTGCAGGAAAGTATTCCATCTCTGAGAAATCTATACTGACCGTTAAAACGTACCTAAGGACGAACCCAAGCAGAGTGAGGGTGAGTCACTATATGCTTCTTCACGCTGACAGGTCGAATTTGGATGAGTACAGATAGACTACTACTTGGTCATTGGAGTAGCACATAGGGCCATATGCACCCAAACCGGGCAAAAATAAAAATAAAAATATAAAAATGGGTAAAGCATCAATACATAGCTCATAAATCTTAATAAACGTAGAAACATTAAAATATTTCCATTACAAAATTAGTCAAAATTCTTTATGAACAATGTAAATAAATTTATTATTGAAATACGATAGCAATCATAGTCTTTAGTCTGAATGGAATGAAATGTATGGAATGTTGAAAAACGACTCAGTTGCTCTATTTAATTGTCATTGTTAATCCAACCAGTTGGTTTAAAAAAACCTCTTAATATCTAAACAGGGTTTCAGCATTACATTCCTGTTCAAGACCTTTTACACTACAGTACTATTCTCCTATATTTTATACAAAATTTATGTAATTTAGTTTCATGTAAAGATGGAGATTTTATCGCTCATTATTTCTCCCTTCCTTTCGTATTGTTATAATATGTGTATATATTATGCACTTTTAACTTAAGACCTATAATAAAATATATGTTTATTTTTTGTAACTATACCTATTTATATATTATTTTGTTATGGAAACACGTTATCTAGTCAATTTTAGGTAGGTAAATATTAATTGTTAAATTAACAGTAACAATTTGAGATCATGTCGGAAAGAAAGGCGCGGAACGCGCCATAGTAATAGCAATAGGCATAATATCTACACTAATATATGAAGCTGAAGATTTTGTTTGTTGGAAGACATGTTAGTAGTGTGGGCCAATATTAACTTTTTGTGCAGAGGTTGAGCTTCCGACTTCTGGCTTACAGACACACACTCAGTAACATAAAATCTATTTAAAAAAATAAAATAAAAAATTGACTACATTGACGACTAATTAAATTGTAAGGACCTGAATTTATTTGAATCTTTTTTCGTTGTTAACGTTATATTGAATTTAATGATTAGTGAAAAGACGATCATTTGATCTAATAGGTATATAGTAATCTATACCTACAGATAAATACAATTGAAGCGAAATGAAAGCTTTTTACTAAATGCATATGAATACGGTACTTATAAGAAAAACACATTTTTTTCATTTTTTTCTGTCTGTCTATTTCTTCCGGCTAATCTCCGAAAGGGCTGGACTGACTTTGACGGGAGCTTCACTGCCAGATAACTGTTGTTATAAGGAGTAACTTATGTTATTTTTAGTTTAGAAGAGAATTAGGGTTTCGCTCAAAAAAATTAAAACTTACCTAGGTATGCACCCGAGCGAAGCGAGTTTCAGTCGCTAGTTAATAATGAATCGATTAAAACAAAAGTGTTTTATATTACATTAAAAATAATTTTGGGAAAGATTAATCTAATCTAGGCTTAGCTGAATATTTATTCAAATTAAGATTTAAATATTCTTAGTATAAAGATATACACGTTACAAAGAAGATAGAAATAAAATGTAGAGACTGTAACAAACACGACAATCGTAACAAACATTCTTATCCTAATGATTATTACTTTACTTATGTACAATTATATGACACGTTTGGCTCAGTTTGCAGTGACCCTACTTGCTATGCCTGCGGTCGCGGGTTCGAGTGACGCTGGGGGCATTCATTTGTGCAATGAGCACGAATGTTTGTACTCCAGTCATGGTTATTTATATTCATAATATGTATGTATTTAAAATTATATATGTGTAGTGTATCAACTATCTGGTATCCATAACACAAACCTCGTAGCTTACCATGGAACTAGATGGTGCTGTGTGTTAATGTCCCAACAATTAGGTAATTTGGATGGATTTCACCTTTATGGAGGCGTACAGGTGGTATACGTAAATGCATTTCCCAACATTAAAAAATAAATAAAAGGTATTTTGATTGGGTTGGTATAGATACCATTATTTAATTTTAATCTAGATAGATATTTCTAATACTATATTATCTAGATAGATATAGTATTAGGACAAAGAAAAAAAATGCATACGGATGTATTTAAAATATACTCTAGAGGTAGATATTTTGTGACATTAAAAAAGAGAAAAACAATAATAATTTATTAATATTCTATAATATAAATGAATAATAACTGTTGTGATTATTTTTGTGATAAAATCATTATGTTGAAAACACAAAAAAAATCCCAACCTTTATCTAAAGTTCCTGAAATTTCCTTATAGATAAAATACTTGAATATTCAAGAGACATCTAAAAACTAATTCGACACAAAATTCTCAGGGTAATGAAAGCTCTGAACTTAATATCGTTTGAGAGGTAGTTTAAAAAGCTAAGGTTACGTGACAGGTGTTAGGCAAAGGATTTTTTGTATCTAACCCATAGCCATCCTACGTGACGTGAAAGATAATTTAAATGAGTTGTTTATTTATTTCCACCGGAGAGTGTAAAACTTAAATTTTAAACTTGAATGTGAATCACGCGTTTCCTGGACCAAAAGCGCTAAGCGGAAATTGACCAGGATGTACCCTTATGGCAACTGTCTCCTCGACTTCCAGGGTTCGACTCCTTATTTTAAATAAGGCGGTGCTAGGTGTTTTGTAATGCATGCGCGTGCGCCGTTTCCTGCGTCGAAAGGAGTGCTACCAACCATTGTTCGGTTGGAGGGGATGTATGTGACCTGAATGGATATGTCGAACTAAAAAACTTACGTTTTACTTCGTTACAACTGTTCAAATATTTTTATTTTGATTCAAATTGTTTTTTGTTGTATTTATTATAATTTCAGGTATCTCTACATTTATATATTATAAATATGTAATAGAAATTACAAGTTAAATGCGAATTAAGGTAATGTAGACTATTTTTTATAAAGTTAAACCTTAACATATGAGATATTATTATATAGTATCGGAAAAAATAATATTAAAATCTTAATTTGCAGTTTAATTAAAATGTAATCGCCGTTAATAAGTAGATAGGTACATACTCGTAGCTATCAAACATTTGTTACATGAGAAAACGAGTTAGATTCCACATTCTAGACGTAATTAATGTAAAAAAAATGATTTACTTTACTCGTAAAAGTAAGCGTAGCTAATTACATAACCATTTCAGATGAACATGTGTAGACACATGCTTTAAATCGTACGCGTTCGAATCCCGTGTGACCAACGTATACGAGTGTTAAGGAACTCAATGGAAAAGTACATCAAAGGTACTCCCGTACCTTACAGTTTACACGTCCGTCTAATGACAAATACCTAAGAATGTCTAATTGGTATTCATCTGAGCGCGTGTATACCACGCCGCGGTGGGGAAGAGTTAATAGCCGGCGCCGCCTTCGCGCCCAGGCATATTGTTCCGAGCCGTGCCCGCGAGCGCCGCTGCGCTTACTCACTCCGTCAATATTCAAACTAAAGCCGGTGGCTGGGAAGGCAAGATGTCGGCATAGCTGATTGATATAATATACGGCTGTGTCACATCGAGCCAGCTCAATCCGCCGGCGTTCGACGAGAGAAGATACGATGGATCCTGCAACGTTTCCGAACGCATCGTTCCCGTCATCCGGAGGGTGGAGGGTGGCGGCCGTCTGACAGCTGTCAGCGGTCAGTGCGCACTCTCCTTCATGATAGGAAAATCTTTATTTATAACACACACGACCATGTTCCCGTAGAGTGCGATCGCGCGTGTATTAAATACGAAACGACAGAATGGCGAACGACGAGGTGCTAGGGCCGCGCAAGACGATGTTCGTTTTAGTGATTGTTGTTGGATGTTTCGCCGTCCTGTGGCCTAGGATTCTCTCCCCGCTGATCCTGGGCCACACGACTGAACAACTCAAGCCCAACCAGTTCGACCGGGACGCAGGTAAATTGGTATTTATAACTTTAGCTCAATGTCAATATCACTGGACTGACCGACTGACTAAATCTAATTATACGTTTCGCCTCAAATTAACGCCTTTTTGTCATATAGCTAAATATATGATAATATAGGTGAGGTCGAAAGTTTCCGGAGCTAGTTAAGCGATGTTTGCGATTCTCAAGAACGAGATATTGCTATGCAAATATGTCTTGGTCCAGTTGTTGACTCTGAGCATTAATGTTTACAAAAGATCTGATCGGAATGCGGTCGGTTCTTACATTAGATAAGTATATATAAATGCATAATGCAAATTATATTTGACAAATGGATTGCATAGATTGATTTTTTCTTCCTTATTGTAAGGTAGTATCATATAGTATAGTATCATATAGTAATCAATGTTTAAAAACATCCATAATATAATAAAACTGTAATATTTAACATTTAATAAGTTTTTAAATTCAAAGTATATTATAATAAAAATTATGAAAAAAGTTGTAATAAACAAATACTAATGAACATAATACTATGGAACATGACAATATATGTATACTATTGATTTTGTATGAGTTTCAGGAAAATTTATTAAAATAAATAATCACTATTTATAATCATAGGTATACACTTGAATATAAATTTATATGTTATTTTAATTAAACATCGGAAGTTGTAATTGGAATTTCCTCATTCACAAAAGCACTAATTCATATATTATCAAAATTCTTGTTAAAACTTCTTATCAATAGTTAATTATTGTTGTGCTCTTTTTATATGTTCATTTGTGTATTATTAAAATGTAATTTTTTTTAGTATCTTTAATCTCATAATGTTTATGTTCGTTTAGGAATTTTATTCTATTATTTGTTAATGAAGTTAAATTACTTATTATTAATTATATTAATCATTGTTAATATAATTTATTATGATCATACTCATAAAATGTTATATGTTATATTATAATAACAAGTCATTTTAACAAATATATATGATATATTGTGGTATTACAGATTTCATTTAACTTTTAATTTAACCTATTAGGTTTTTATGATTATTGTTATTTTTTTAATGTATTATGAGTATAATATCTTATGTTGTATATTACATTTTTTATATGTTATCTAGTAAAAGATTAATAGCAAGGAGACTTTTAATGGCCCTTAAGAGTTTGTAAGTGGGTTTGAGCAACAATTAGTTTTTAACTTCTAAAGCAGTTACATATATCTCTACATATTATGACATCAGTGTTATTACTCATCTGTTGTAATTGTAATTTTTTTATCATTTTTATATGTTAAAAAGAAAAATTTATGTTTTTATTATGCACCATGTATGTCTACTGGATGTATTTTTTATTCCATTTAACAAAGTGATATCTGTACATTGAACTATTATTTTGTTTTGTAGTATCTTTTCAGTATTAATAAAGTTTTACCTTAGGCTGCTGTGAAGTAATATTTGAAACTGATGTGGCCGTTCTGGAATTGGTGAACGAGGTTTGCAATTCAGCATTGAAAGATGGCAAGTTCTCCGCACAATCAGCAATAGAATGTCGTAAGGCAGTGAACGACACATGTGGCTTCGATATAGCCGCATTTGTTAAACGTAATGAAAATGTGGGGAAAACGACGAAAATGATTATCGAGAGTATGAAAAATAGTAACAGCTCATGTCTAAGACAACATTTTGGTGTCCCTGTGTACAGTATGGGGAATCACTTCGCTCTCAACTACTGGAATCAAACAGACAGTTAGTTTGTTTTCTTTATGCCTGGATTTTCTAACCATTAACTTCTAAAAAATGAAATTTGTGATAGTGCTGTTTCTAATTTTACTAACAATTATTAATAACATATATGGCAGATGATTACTAAACATGTACAATTCTAGTATGTGTTTTTTTGATGAATGATCATATCATTTGAAGATCATGGTTAATATAAAGAATAGATAAGATGAATAGAAATAATTAATGTTTATAAACAATCCATTGAAAAATTACTCTTATGTACATATTAGCGGTTTTTAAATCGTTCTTTTTGTTTCTGGGTTAGCATATTTTATTTTTAACTAGCGGCTCACCCTCACTTTGCTTCGCTTCTAGAAAAACAAAAGCAATCTATCCCACGGGAACCGTTCCGGCATAAAAAGTCGCGTATGTGTTATTCTGATGTATGAGCTATATTATTGTAAAGTTTCATAAAAATCCATTCAGTAGTTTTCCAAATCCATTTATTAACATTCATACATCTATACATCCAGACATCCATAGATGCTCACCAACTTTCGTATTTATAATATTAGTATAGCTTGAACACGCGACGAATATCCTTGTACGCTGTCAGTCAAGTCTATAGGCTAAATTAATTTTAGACACTGCTGTAAACTCTAAACTTTCAAGTACGATATTTTACATGTATTCAATATAATAGCGATACATAATTTACAAAAGCTTAAAGGATAAATTTTAGAGCGATATTAAGACAATTTATTTAACTAAAGAAATGTAAAAAAGATTTTACGCATATCCTACAGAACATTCGTGAGTGTAAAATATTCTACGAATTTACGTGTATGTGTTCTTTGACCGTCTGTAACCGACTATTTTGAATTTTCTGAATCGAGGCAGAAAGATTTATTTGATAGATGTAACAATACAAAGACCGACGTAAATAGGATATAAAAACTAATTCTGTATCCCAGGGACATTTTTTCAATGATTTTTAAAAACACAGAGTACACTTTTTCAATGATTTAAAAAAAATAGTTTACAAAGTAAAAATTATGGATATGCCAGTTTTTTCAATTTTTAAGGGTGTTTTTATAGGACGACCATACAATGTTTTTGTTTCTTCAAAAAGTAGAGTGCAAGGCGATAAAAATGAGCCTATCTGAAAATTGAACGATTTTTTTTAAATGTAAATCCACTTTGAAGTTGGGGGTGATTTTAAGCCTCCCAACACCATAAAATGTAAATTCCTCGGAAACGGCTAAACATATCAATTTCAAAAAAAATGGTTATTATATGTATTTCGAAGATTATATTGCTCTAGTTTCATGAAAATAAAAAAATTATCGCAGAATTTAAAAAAAAAAAACAAAAAAAAAACAAGAAAAAATGAAAAAAAACGTTTTTTTGGTAATATGTCGAACACTTCTCGGGGGTAGATGAACAGCGGAGGCATTTTACAGATTTTTGTTTCTTCTATACCTGCTTACTTTTTAAAACATAAAACTTCAGGTTTAATTTTTTTGTGTAGCGCATCTCGATCTTACTATTTGTATAGCACTATTTAACTTAAAGAAAAACTTAATAACGTATAAAAACTTAATTTCTTTCGAATTAGGTACTTAAAAAATAATTTTGTATTATTCCTTCTTTTCTTAAACTTCAAACTTCTTAATAAAGTATATTTGGCTTTGGGGAGGGGGAGGGGGGATCATGACCCCCACGACCCCCCCCCCTGGATCCACGCTTGGAGAAAACTGTTCCTCTAATACAAGAAATAAGTAAGTGTAGATTGGCCGTATTAAAAATAACACATGTTCTAGATTCTTTTAACTTATTTAGTTCAAGGGCAGCTGCATAATGTAAAGTGCCTCTTAGTACTAAGCATGGAAATGATTGCTACTTTTAAATCATTATCACGTGATGAAATTACAACAATTTTTCACGTGATTTCACCTGCTACTTTTCACGCATAGATTTTTGATTTCGACGGTCTGGTGTCACACTTTATATTATTTGCTATTAAAATGAAGTATGAAATGTCACCAATGGCGCTACTGATGTGATATGGAGCAAAGATATAGATCTGACGTAGTTGCATACGTACATGGTGCTTTGAATGAACCTATTTTCAAACAATGAACTTTTCCTCATACTTCTACAGGCTTGGGACTGACAATGTAAAATTAAATGAATTTTAAATATATCAGAGTAATCACACGGTAAAATTGTATTAAGCTAAGTTCCATAATTACATTGGCGTATTTAAAAGTTCATTGTTTTTATGTACAATAAGAATTTTTATAAAAGAATTTTATACACTTTTTTTGTTTTTCTTAATTTTTTTAATTTGTTTATAATCATTTTTTTTGCTTTTTGATTTTTTTGATGATTGATTTTTTTATGAGATATCTATATACAATAGTCTTCATTGCTTTTTAAAAATACAAGTTCCGCTGTTCGTTTTCTGCTTAATCGTGCTCTTTTTTGGGTTGCAAAATTTCCCGCTTTTGAAAATACTCTCTCACACTCCACTGATGTCACCACGATGTGACAGTGCTCATGAAATATTTCCGCCAAATTGGGGTACATATAGGAGTGAGATTTCCACCAAACTAATGGCGAAGAATCGCGCGGAAGCACTGGTTCATTAATAAACATTTCTAGCTCGTTCTCAGCGTTGGTGGTTATGTCTGTACGTATTACACATAATCATTCAGTAAAAATTATAAGTATTTGTTGGATAAAAAACTAAAAATGTGCTCTAAATTTAATTGTTGTTTCTAATTTAAAATTATTTCTAAACAATATTTCTAAGAATCCGAAATCATGCAACTCGAAATAAATAAACTCCCCAATTTACTGATCAACGGTATTAACTGAAAATTGTATTTTGTTGAATAAAAAATCAATAAAAACATCAGTACGAAAATGTATACGGAAAATGCGAGTAACGAAATGCATTCGTGAGTAACGTTTCGGTACTCGGTACTAGATGGCGTACCCGTTACTCAGTAACGAATACATACGGTTTGCTACAGCTCTAGATTTCACCAAGTTGTGATTTGTAGCAGCCACTATGAATTTAAGTAGCAGGTGTGACGTATGATTACGCATTTCACGTGATTTTTCACTTGCTACTCGTGAAATGTTCCATCCCTACTTAGTACATATTTTACCTAGTTTTTTATATTTGTAGTCTATCTTTTCTTATAATACTAACTAGCATTGCCCGCAGCTCCGCCCGCGTTCAGATGACCGAAAATCAAATTCTTAGGTTTTTTAAATTAGTATACTCTTACATTGCAGTTTTTGTTTTTTTTTCTCAGAAATAAGATATTTTCCCGTGCCAGACGTGACAGATAAAAATTCTAAAAACTATAGATTCGGCCTCTGTATCGATAATAATGTTCATTTAAATAAGATTTTCCAAAAAATAATTCATGTACAGATTCGGCTTTGTTACAATTTTATTATATGTATAGATTAGTACTCGTATTTAAAATGTATATGAAGATTTTTAAAACAAACTAAGACTTATTTTAACGCGATATAAAAGATTATAAGTGCGTTTTACGATTTTACAATTATATTGTAAAATTGTATTAAATCGTAAAACGATAATAAAATTCCCGACTGATCTCATTCAATAATATTAATAACTATATAAACAAAGTAAACACATGCTTTTGTATATCTTAAAGACAAGTGTTGGATTTTACGGACTGCTAGGAATTTAACATGTGTCCAGAATCCAGATTATAGTTTTTAACTATGACGTAAATGCTCGTAAACATGGTTATGACTTACGGCCTTGTAATTTTTTTCGCATTATTTGATGGGAACTGTATTATTATTGCTACACTAACGACTTGCCCTCGCTTTATTTTTTTCCCCTATTACATACTTTCTTAGATTTACGCGAATATTTGACATTTTAAATAAAACTATCTTTTTGGATTATTTTGCGGATTTATTTTGATTTTTGGCTCCCGCCGTTTCGTATGCTTTACAGCAATCATGGCTGGCACGGGTTCCCTTTTAATTTTTTTGGGCGAACCCTAACTCTTTTTCTAAAATAAAAGTAATTGCTTATAGCATCAGCTATCTCCTAGTGAAAGTCCTATCAAAATCTATCCAGCCGTTTCGGAGATTACGTCGAACAAACAGCCATACAAACATTTTAAATATTGTGTTTCTAAGTACCGTATATACTTTCATAGGCATTTAGTAAAAAGCTGTTATTTTGACATTACAAACACGATTCAATTTTATTTACCCGTAAAGATTTAGTTAATTTAGCAATTACGCAGAAGAAATATTTATACATATTATGATTTACACATTTATTTTTCTTGATATTTACTAAACCGCAATAATATATCTAATCTCCTTGTTAGCTTTCTGGGTTCAATTTTTTTTTTTCCATTTCTTTTTATTCGTTGAATAATCTATAAAAATGACAGGTGCCTTAGATTTTATACTTCATTACTTATTTTTACTAGAGCATTAATAGTAGGTATGCACTGACATTGTATTATATTGCATAAACAGTGTAATTTAAAACGAGTGATACAAAGAAAAAAAATATACATAATATACTAGCATCCTCGCTCCGCTCGGGTTCGTCCCTAGATTCGTTTTAACGTTTAGTATCGATGTCTAAGAAATGAGATATTTTCGCGCAGTAAAAAGTATCTTATATGTTGACCCGGATAACCAGCTATCATCATACCAAATTTCATGAAAATCTGCCTTGTGCTTTTTATGTGATGCGTTCCCAGACAGATAGACAAAAAATCTGAAAACTATAGATTCGCGACCATTGTATACATACATATAACCATATGATTGTATCGATAATAATGACTACTTCAATAATATTTTCCAAAAAAATTTTAATGTACAGATTCGACTCAGAATTTTATTATATGTATAGGTTGAAATTAAGACTTTATATTAATTACTAGCGACTTATCCTCGCGTGGCTCGGGTTCGTCCCTAGGTACGTTTTAATTTTT